TTTCCGGAGTTGACTGCTTGGTGGACTTCTAAGCTTCCCTGGTCTCAAGACACGCCGAAGGATCTCGCTGTTGTCTCTCACAAAACGTAAACAGTACTGCAGATTCACTTAACCTGGAGGGCGTCGGATGCTTTCCAGTCATGAGGGTCACGCTTTTCTCTAGTAGAATAGAACCGGTAGCACAAAGCTGTCGTTTAGGCGTTTTTAAAAACGAGGTTTGCAATAACACCGGTGCCTAGATAGTGGAAGTTTCGAAATGTGCCACTTGCTTTCGCTACCACGTTTTTCGCCTCGTCACACATATCAACATTGCTAAGAAAGCTTTCCAGACAGTTCAACTTTCCGTCTGTCTCGAATATGTTGCCGCTGATGCCCAATGTCGAAAGCTTCGCTAGTCGAGTAGCATCACTTTTCACCTAGATCTTGCGAAACTCACCCCTAAGTGCCGGATAAAAATCGTAACTTTGTTCATAACGTGGATCGGCTTGATCGGTATCACCGGCCAGAACGCTAAAATCCGTTTTCTTGCAGTTCATCAATCTCACGAAGCGAGATAATGCAGTGTTTCTTCGTTGCCCATAGAAAAATTCAGTAGGAAAGTAGATGGCGAATAATTCTATCACTCTTCATTTGAGGGGACTGGTCGCAGATTTGACCTGAAGACTGCGTCTACAACTCCCTAGCTGTGTTAACATAGTTTCCAGGCATTTTGTCCCTGGGTCAAAGGAGTGTATGCATTTTTGCTTCGGTAACAGTTATTGTGGTGTAACTGTATGGCCAACGCTCCCGTTCCCCAGACGGAGCTGGACTTGCGCTTTTGGAGAATTTCGGTCAAAGATAGAATGGAGCACTTCTGGCCATGGAATTTAAATGAACTCTTGGGAGTACTGGGTGTACGGTGCCATTCAAATTGATCCCTGAAGTCTGCTTAGCATTTCAACCTCCTGCCTTCTGTTTGCGAGTTGACCGTTTTTTTGTTTCGAAAAAGGCTTTCTTCTAAATAAGCTGGAAGAGTTTTCGAGAGTGACTCAACATGGACACCAGTTCGTTTTCAGCTGACATGTTTTGCTTTCTTAGATAGCTACTCCATGGGCTGTGATACCTTCTGTGTTCATTCCATCGTGAATTTGTGGCCAGTAGAAGTCAATAGCACCGGAAATATCGGACTATAAAATCAAAGTGAGGTCATGCGTATCGCTGTACTATTTGTTAGTCTTTCAGTGGAACACTATCCACCTGTTTTACGCGGTTGTTCGCACTTCGGAAAAATGTTTTCGAATGTACCAGATAGTGATCAGAGTCGACTTTTGTGTTCCTGTATGGTTGACAGTCTTTCCACCGATAAGCGATAGCGGTGCAGTTATTCTACATCAGCGATTGGTTTGGAGATTATGAGCACCAGGTGACACATTCGAGTATACTTTGCTGGAAAGTTCGGCACCAAAGCATCAGTGTCAATATTGATGTTGCTGACGATGATGATGGTGAAAACCTAGAATTCAAAAGTCCACGTCTACAAATCTTGACAACTTACATTAATCGTGTGGCAATACGAATATCGAAAAAGGTTTGTTGAAGGGAAAAACTTGCTCTTCCCTTTTCATTGTCTGTATTCTTCAGTGTAGGTTTTTCAGTCAGTTATCTGCATTTATCACACCTGACGCGATCCTATATTCTATCGAGGTGTTGGTTGGAACCTCCACAGCACACTACTACGTGGGTTCTGACTGATGTATGCTTAAACACCATCCATTTACCAGAATTTTAGGAAGGTCATGTACTCTGACAACTTGATTGCTTGTTAGCTTCATGACTTCCGATCTTTTTAGCCGGCTTCTACGCGATCGATGGTGAACAACAAGGACTTAGGCCTCTATGTTTCCTACATCTATGTTCGGCATTTATTTGAAATCTAACAGCGTTATTTATCCAATAATCGCCGAAATGGGCAATCAGTGATTGCTTCCATCAATACCTCCATCAGCCGAAGGGGGACCACCACGTTTCCATTCAATTTAATTGCACATTCAGCTATAGCCGACAAGAAGTACTATTATGGCTTATCTTCCATCCTGCTTCTCTTGACAAACTTACCGTGTGGCATGCGCTGCTCAACGTCTCATCTCAAGCATCAGACTCAAATTCCACTCACGTTTCTGTATCTTTCCTAGCTTGAAATCAATGTCCGTTGCATAATTAAGGAAATCTTTGCAATACGCAGCCGTTGGTTTTGTTTGATACTGACTATTTACACTACTATGAATTTGCTTTTTGCTCTCCTATCCACAAATAACTCTTCTGTGCCATGAGGCTTTTTTGCATCAAAGGTGGGTGAACACCAGTTTCCCATGAACGAACGACTTAACTTCCTCTTAATTTTAAATTCTGCATTCTGGAAGCGTCACAAGAACACGCATATCATGATAACCAATCCCGTTGGACCTCTGTTACCCTCCTGATTCCTTACCGTGCAGATGAACTTCCTGAGTTTTCACGGCTAATCCCATAGATAACATACAGGTATATTTATATTTCGTTGAATTTCCCTAGAATGAGTCTCTTGCGCTTGATAGTCTAATCGCAAAGTTACATAAGCAAGATTATGCTTGTATCAAATGATTGGCGGTTAAGTCTGTCTGATTTCCGTCTAAACTCGAAACGTTGCTAATGCGGTTGAGTAACCCTTGAACTTACTCATCGATATTTTGCTCCGGTATATCTTCGGCTAACCCTGTCCACCTTAAGTTATCACTATATAATTCACTTATCCATTTTTCTAGTAGGAATACCTAGGCCGCCGCTGCCTCACTCAATCCAGCCACACATGTTTTCTAGTGGTTCTTTAAATGGTAATTTCCATATAGTGTCTGAGGAGACTTGACAAATACAGGTATTTCGTCTTTCCAGTTGTTGGTTTTTCGCCGAGCTTGGCAGTCTTCCTCCACTTTTATTCCAACCATGATACCCACAACTAACCATACTCTCATGTCACATCGGCTGTCGCGCGTTACCCCCCACAGGGTCTCATTACTTACTGCATATAGCAAGGTGGGTAACCGATAATAGACTAGTGCTGGCGCCTCTCAACTTTTTCTTTCATACACATTTCATTCCACATTCCACCACTCCAGTATCATCTCTCTCTCCTAGGCCCTTCAGCCAGGACTGATGTGTCCGTTCGTCTTGTATCTCTGCGCTAACATCCCCGTGTAGCTCGAAATCACTCTTCAAGCATCGATGCTCAGTCTGTCTAAACGCTTTTAATGTTCACATTTTGAAGCAAGCTGGACAACAAGCACCTCTTGCTGTCACATTGGACTTGCTTGACATTGATATGTGCTCTTTATCAAAAACAGGAATTCAAGGTGCAAGGACAGAGTTTTTGAGCTAAGATGCATTAGTTCCGATTGTAGTGTGTCAGATGAGGTCAGTTCTGCAAAGCTCGGGTCGAGTTTGCTAATTTGAGATATCTATGGTGTTGAAGCGGTATGTCGCTGAATCTGGGTGCTGTCACTACTGCTATCCTTCTAGGAAAGGCAACTGTGTGATCCCCTGGTTAAAGACGCTGCAAGCCATGGCTGCTAATCGATGTCATCAGTTACTATTCGGGTTACTTGAATGAGTGTCTGGAAGTGTAGGCGTCTGGAAATATCTATGGTCCACTGGATGCTCTACGACAAGCAACAACCTGCCTGTTGCTCAAGCTTGTCTGCTTTGATCTCTCTTAGAATCACTAATAACTTTAGTCTTTTTGAGTAACGAGTATTGTGCCGACTCCTGGAAACAATCCAACAACACGTATCCCATACTCCTTCGTGGTAGGAAAGTGTGGTTGACTGTCTTTACACAATCTTTACATCCCTATACAACTTCATCATCAATGTGTACAATTGTTCTGTATTAAAGTTGTTCTCAATGCTCCGGCGTTTCTCTCTCACTGAGGTTAGTTTATCTGCCAAACTCGCCATCCTGTTTTTGAGATAGTTTTTCTATACAGTCTGGACACTTCATACCCACTTCTATTATATGTTAGTCGACTTTTCGTTTCATGCACAATCAGTTGCTGTCTTTTCGTGTCGATCGTGTTATTCATCCGACAGCATGACACTTCGACTGCGTTTTGCGTGTTGATCGTCACTCACCATGTGCAGGATAGAGTTAACTCGGATCTAATGGGAAACTGTACAGGGGTAGTTGGTCTTCCGTAAAGGAACCCATCAATAATGATGAAGAGACATTGTGGTATGCCATCTGTCTGTGCCAGACAGTGAGGTTTCAGACCTTGACGAAATCAAAGAAATTCTTCCAGCATTCTGTAGCCAACGTTCTGGTGGTTGCGATTATTCGGGCTACCTCGGATCTCAGAAAATGGTCTAACCAAACCAGTTTGTTTTACTGTCTTTCGTATACATTTGTGGCATCTAACCTAACTGGAGTGTGCTGCCTCAAACGGCTGATGTTGTTTAACCATGGGTCGTTCTGAATCACGGAGCCTTCTGTTTTGTTTTGTTGTTCATGACGAATTTATCGCCGTCTCCAAAATGAACTTTACACCCCATCAGTTTCGTTTGTGATAATAACTTATTGGTTACTAACTCAAAAATATAGGAGACGAGTGTAAACACTCACTCCAAGAAAAAACAGTACTTGTAGTTCTTGATGTCTAGGTTCATACCCTGTGATTACAGCACTTCCATCATTTTCACAGTGTTTTTCCGGTAATTCCGAAGAGAACGTGGGGTGACGATTTTCGCCTTAATTGGAATCTTTCCGTGCAGTCTAACATTTCTCACCGGGAACTCGGACGCTTGTCCGCTATGAAAGAATGCTCTAACGAGGTCTGAGGTTATCATTTCAATTGTGGCTAAATCAACATTTTGCTCGTCTTTGGGTGTATCCCTTACACGTGTCTCTCATCGTTATCATCTCTATACGCATTGTCGGATTGATCCTTTTCTCATGCTCCGTCTACTTCACCGTGTTGTCACTACATTTTTCAGTACGGCCCGAAACGGCTAGACAACTTGATTCCCGGGAAGGTTTACTTGTGGTGCGCCTGTGGTTTGAGTAAATCTCAGCCTTGGTGTGATGGTGAGTCTTGCTCTTTTGGATTTTCGGAACTTTTCCGTATGAAATTCTAGTAAGCTTGTGCTTTTTCCACTTGGTATTTACTATTACAGCTTGTTGCTGTATCGGCAGACTGTGAATGTATCCTTCGCACATTGATCGAGCACCGGGTGAATCGTGGATGCTTGACTTTAAACCTGCATTTCGCCCAAGCTTTCGACGCATTTTATCATACCTTCATCTTCAGCTGGGCTATTTCACTGTTTCCAATGAAGTCATCCAAAAGCTGGCGTTGATTTAGATGGTCTATGCTAACGTCAGATTCCCTGTATCGGAGTCCATAACAGCTTGTGATGTTCCTTCTATTTTCGCATCTATTATGAAGGCCTTGGCAGCCTCTCACCCACGTCAGATGGTGTCAGGCAAGGCTGTTTCCTCTCTCACCGTTTTTGCGCATTTGGGCTTTTGGTATGGCACCTGGAGCTTCTCCCTCTACCTCTGACAATTCAGAGGGTACACCGTTTGCTGGTGGCCATCCACAACCTTTGAGTATGCGGATGATATACTGTTTCATCATCCCAAGTAACCCAAGTCATTTGGTCGCGCTGTTTAACGTGCACTGCAAAGTGTAAAATGCTACTGTAGTGCTGGACGGGATTGATATCACACTCTATGTTGGCGCATCAGCCAATCGATTCTCTAGACAGGTTTATTTATCTGAGGCTTGGTGAAAGAAATCGCTCCATAAAGTGGGAAGTCCGTGGAAGATTTTGCCAACTTCGGACATCTAGATAGCCTACTTGATGTCCGTTTGTCTGTGGACTGCATACTATGGTGCGTATTGTTTCATGGGCAGATGACATGACCTATGTTCGTAGAAGATAGGAACGAACTTACGATGTTTTCGACGCGTTGTCAGGGTCTACTGACAACATCGGATGAACAGTGTTGGTACATCTCGGAAGAAATAAATCACCCATGGTGGACGAGTAGCCCAGTTTCACAAACTACATTGTTGGG